AATAACAAAACAACAATATACAAATTATTCTAAACTTTTATAATTTGAAAATACTAAGATGTGTATAGTATTAAATATTAGGAAATTTAAAATCTCTAATTTTTGAACTTAATTCGCTAATATTTAATTACTATTAGCATTAAAATTTTTAGATCTACTATTATGCTATTACTAAACCTGTTAATTAATAAGATATATTACACATTATACACATAAATATCTAAATTTATCATTATTATAATTACCAAACTTGCATCAAAATAATTAATTATTGATATTTCCAAATTAAAAATATCTCTAAGCTCTGATTTTATGTAGAAGGACTCAATTAATAAAATCATAATATAAATAAAGTTATTTTGCTTTGTATTCTTTATTTGTACTTGTATTTCTTTCAACAAATAAAACAAAGTTAACTGCTAAAAAATATACATAGAAGAATGTAGATTATTATTTATTAGATTTATTATATCTATTTAAAATCAAGATTTTGTATAGAGATTAGAATCAGTTTAGTTAACTACTATATTTAGTCAACTAATTAGTCAACTCAACTGATTCCAATTCCTACACATGATAAGATTTGCAAAATTAATAACTAATAAAAACCTAATTTTTATCTTTATTTAGTTAATAATTATAGTCATTTAATTTTAATTAATATTTCATTGATGATTTTGGTGATTATGTGAAATGTAATCATTTCAAGATCGAAGATTGACAACAGAAAACTCTTCTTGCTCCTTGGTGCCTTCCTATCTATTGGGATTGAGTATTATTTGAATCTATATAAACAAAAAAAAAAGCTAGAATAAAATTAGAAAATAAAACTGCAAAGACAATAATTCAACTTTTATTTTTGCTACATAACATGCATGGAGGTTTCTATTAGTTGATATATTAAAAAATAAAAATTTTGAATTTACCTGTTTGAAATTATATATGCTTGTATGGCCTTATATCAAATTTAACCATATACTCATTTCTGATATATACTGGTGATCATAAATAATACAACAAAAAAAAATTTATTTAGATCACAATATTTCACACAATTCTGGATCTTTTCTTTTTAATTTTTTTTATTTTATTCACAAGTAGTATTTTTTTTAAATATTAAAATTTTATTAGTTGTTATTATTGCCAATGCGAAGATAATTATGCATTTATTACAAATCATGTATTGCATTATTTTTGATCGTTTTTGACAAAAATCAGATGATTCCTACTGTCCTACCTAAGTACATATCAAAATGTAAATTCATTATTATTTTTGCATCTTTGTACAATAATAAAGCACTTAATAAAGTTTTAACAAAAAAAATATAGATATACTACAATTTAAAGAAGCCCAAATTTCTTCTTTATTATAAAAATGATATATCACAAAAGTGATAGATTAAGTGTATAATATTGGTTTCTTTATTGGCTTTTTTGTCTATAAAAATTATTATACATCATACTCATAAAGAATTAATAAAAGTTAGTTGTCTATTTATCAAGTGCAAACAAAATCAAACAAGAACATTAAATTGAATAATCTTGTTTTGTTGTTTAATTATCGTTTAAGTATGATTTTACTTAAAAAAAAATAATAATATTTATGCTTTTTTTTTTTTGAACTTTGGCAACAATGCCAGTTGGTTTATTAGCTTTAATTTTGATATAGTACAAATTTATAGTTATATTTTTAGGATTAATTATTACTAGTACTACATACTATCTAATTTTACATCACTAACTTCATCCAGTTACCTATATAGCACCTAAGTGCATGTCCATCACATGCCTGCACACAGTTATTCTAACAATCACTTGTGGTTAGGGCATACTATTAAACTGCTATATAGACAAGAATACCTATCGAACTTAATATGATATCCCAAATGCCAGAGGTACTGTCTTCTATAAATCGTACCCATATGTCCCACTCACATATTTTACCTAGTCTTGTTTCTTCTGCTTCTTAATCTAACTATATTTAGTATTACCTTGTTCTCTACATTTCTCACCTTTTTGTCACTGTACCACTCTCAAATTGGTCATATTCGGGTATGTTTGATCCTTATGATCTTCTTATTTTTGGTATATCTGTTATTAATTCCCCTAAGGTGTTTCAACAATAGTCTAGAATCTGCAAAGAACCTGTATCTCAAGCCAGATCTGCTGCTGCCATTGGTTTTTTTGACCAATCTGTATCTCAAGCCAGGTTTGCTGCTGCTGTTTCTGCAGATGCTCCAAGTCTTAACATCATACAGTAACTTGATGCTACATTTAATCTCTAATATAGTTCTTCTTTTTATGATAGAGACTGAGACTTGTTGTGCTTATAAACAGGACAATTCTGGTTATATCTAAGGAGTTTCTCTAACCCTAGTGATACCATACTACTATATATTACAAGCTTTCAGCTTATTTGATAATACCTGTAGGACAATTCTGGTTATGCCCCAAGGAGTTACACCAATCTCAGTGATGCCATACTACTTTGCAAATCTTATCTTACACATTAGTTGGTTGATCTCAGTCTTGTTCATTATAGACTTCCATATAGGTATGACTAGGAACCTAATTTGGTATTTTTACATTGTACAAGAAAATTATATGCCAATCTTCAAGATTTTTCTTTTCTATAATTAGATTATTTGACTATACAAGAGATGCTTCCAATTTTTGATTAGACCAATTCTTTATCACAGTCTGTCCTCATATTCACTGCTTCTCTCATCATTCCAGTTATGGTTACTTTCAGAATATTCTCCCAATTAAATCCTCTCCTTGAATCCTAATTAAGACTTATTTGTACAATCCATTGATTATCCTTCCAAGCAAGTACCTCACAAGCTGGATGCAGAGATGTTAGTATTGCCTATATTAGAAGGTATAAGGATGTTGGTGCTGTCCTAGTCTAAAGAACTTACATATACAATCTTTCTATAATCATAACCTTTTGTAACAACTGCTTGTTGTGCATAGTGCCTGCACTCTATGATTGGGTCTCCTTTTGAGAATTCCTATTTCCATCATTGTACTGCACTTGGACTTAATCACAGGGCCTTGTATTCAATTACAGGTTTCTTATTAAGTTACAGAAACTAAAATCTTTCAATTTTTGCCTCCAGCCAGACTTGAACTATTGATCTTGACTGTAGAAGATATGAGAACTTAACTGCTAAGCTATGGAACCCACACATTTATATTTATGTTTCAATAGCTAATTATTCTTTTTATACTTTAAAACTATAGATTGATATTAGGAATTAAGTATAAAAAAATTCTATCGATGTAAATACAAATAAAAATGTTGGCTCAAACTTACAAAAAAACATAAAAATTAAGCTGTCAAAGCTAATCTTAGGTAACTTAATTTAATGATTCAAAATTTTAAAATTTTTTGATCAAAAGATTATAAAAAGTTATTAGATAGTTTTTAAATTAGACTTAAATAGGATTTTGGTGAAATTTGTAACAATATATAGTGCTGCATTATATTTATTATATAAAGGCCTTAGTGAGCTTGATTACACAATGAATAATAAGTTTCACTAATGGATTTTTTGTAAAAATATACAAATACTATCAGAAATTATGAATATATTATTCACATTATTTTTTAATTAGATAATAAGAGAAATATATAATAACAATAATAAAACAATAATTTAAAAATAATCAAATCAAGGCATTATTATATTGGTCATACTATTTTTTAACTTTTTTCTTATTAATTTTTTTTTAGATTTTGATTGACCGTCTGCTAAGAGTTTATACTATTTCAATTTTGAGTGAAAAGGATCTTTAGGCATGATCTAGGTGACTCGACAAGAAATCAGCATTGATACTTGTATTGACTTGATTTGTCCTTTTGAAAAACAAAGTTTGGAACATTTGTATGGCACAAAATAAATGAGACAAATAGTGGTGATTATAAATTATTCAAATAAAATTAAAAAAATTTTTTTTTATATGTAAAAAAAAAATTCATTATTTTATATTCGTGTTGTGTTTAAAACGAGCAAAAATAATGCAACACGCTTTTTAAACTAAAGCTCATACCTGTGAAAAATTTGGCCTATTGATACTTTCTAAAAAGTTTATTTTTAAAAACTATAGTATTTAGGAATAAAATAAAAAAAAAAGTTAACAAATACGCCTGGAATTGCGTGAAATAATTCGATCTAACTAAAAAAATTTTTTTGTTGCATTATTTATGATTGCCAGTGTATGTTACTAAATTTATTAACCCGACTATGCTAATTTACATAGGACTAGTGTTTCGGACGAAACCAAAAACAGGAAATTATAACTATCATTAATTATCAAGTGCAAAAAACTCTTTAAATTTTTGTAAGGAATGTTTTTTTTTTATTAGAACCCGCAAGGTGATTTCGTAAGCAAAATTATAAGCTACAAGCGATTTGATCTTACGAAAAATATTGCCGATCATTAGTTATGAAATTGGATTTGATTGGTTAAAATTTTTATATTAAGTTGTATTTTTTTTTAAAAAAGTTAGTAAAGTTTAAAAAGGTTTGAACCTAATAGTTTAATAAAAAGTTTTTGCAATTTTAAGTTCATAATAAAATATTTTATAAGACTAACCATATTTAAAAGTTTTAGGATTTTCGGAACTAGTCACACTATCGGCACTCTTCCTTATGTAGAAACATACTTAGAATATGCTTACAGTATATAGAAAATTATTTTACAGTAAAAATAAATGTGATTATATGCTTATATAGTGATTATATGGGAAGTGGAAAATCCTTATGATAAAATTAAACTCCTGACATTTTTTACTAGTGCCTACAAAATAGGTTTAAACTCATTTTCTATTTTTTATTATACTTCAAACAAGGGGGTCGGGTAAAATCGATCCAAACTAGTTTCGGATAGGTTTCGTTTCGCGTACCTCTAGTCATTTACTGAAGAACTGAAAAATTTTGTATTTATATTTTGTATTTGTATTTTTTTTAAAAAACATTAACTATACAAAAAAAATGACGTCTCCGCAAATTTCAAATAAAAATCAAAATAAATCCTTGTTCTACGCTACATTTCTTGATGGTTTTCGTGGTGTGGCAGCTTTATGTGTCGTTTGGGCTCACACTCAGACTATGTATGAGCAACGTTTGGATTTAAATTCATTCGACTTTTTGGGATTTTATGGAGTAATCATGTTCTTCGTGCTTTCCGCTTTTTTACTTACTCTTCGAATGCTATTGGATTG